GATGAATCTTTCTGCCTGGCTTCTTTTCTGAACTTTTTTAAAAGTGGGGTTTTGAGAGAGAGAGAAAAACACACAAGTACACCTTCGGGCAGATGCAAATTCCTTTTTGCTTTTTTCAGGCCACTGGAGTCCTTTAGAATAGGCTACACTCATAACCCTGTGCCCGACAGATAATCTGGATGCTGGTGCTCATCCTCCACTGAAATCTGGCTCAGCTGGCTGAGGCTGATAGGCATTATAGTCCTAACCATCCTGAGGACCTATGCCTGCTTCAACCCGTAATATCAAGGTCATGAATGGAAGACCTGGAGAATGGAATTCGTATTTATGATGCTACTTTTCAAAGGCTTCTGAACTTTCAAAAATTAAGTTATTCACACTAAGAGTTAGGTAGCACAGGTACTTGCTTTTATTTGGGAAAAACAGCATGAGAAACAGAAAGTAGTCTGCCAGAGCTATGTAAAAATCTGAATTTCTCCATTGATTTCTATGGAGAGCTTCCATTAGAGATGGTTGGTAAAAATGGCTTATCTTATTCAAATCCAGAATTTATCTATTACCCTAATTTTCCTATCTCTAGTCTTTGACATCCTCTCTAGGAATCTGGGCCCGGCTCAGCTCTATGACCTCATGGGTTTGGATTTTTATTTGTTTGTTTGCTCTGTTCCTCCCACATCTTTTTTCTCTCCCCTGGCTGAGCCTTTGCATCATAGATGTAAAAAAGTGGACTGACAAGCCTCTTTGTTTGCAGAGCGGACTTAAGACTATTTTTAATGTTGTAAATTTATTTAAACCAACACCCCAAGGCTGCTCTTGATAGCCATAAGAAATGTTCGAGAACCTATATTAGGACACATCAAAGAGCCCACAGACATGCGCAAAGTGCAAGCTTTCGAAATCTCCAGGTGCCTTCCTCAGATCTCTTCTCAAAAGGTTTCCCTTCTTTGGTGAACTTTCAGTTGAAGTCAAGATGCCTTCCTGCGGTCAGGTAAGTTTAGGATTGGACAGTGACCCTGATTAAAGTGGCGAGCAGGAGGCGTAGAAATGAAAGTTGATCCCTTAAAGAAACCTCAAGTGATGGAGCTAAAGTTCCACCTATCCCCGCAGAGGCAACAAAACAAAGCCTTGATCTGAGACTCAGTGGAGCGGGGTTCTAGTCCTCATTGGAGCGAACTTGGTGACTTTGGGCCAGTTACTGACTCTCTCTCTGACCTACCTCGTGGGGTTCTTGTGAGGACAAAATGGAAATAAGGATTACGTAAACCTGCCTTGGTTTCCATGTAAGAAAAGGGCAGGATAGAAATCTAATAAATGTAAAAATAAAATCACATTTTCTTTCCTACTTAAGTCTGGGGCTGGCGAGGGCGGGGGATATGATTTTTTGGAGACTTAAAAACCCCTGAATTTTAAAAATATTTTAAAAATATAATTTTATTTTATATTGTTATTTCTAGTATTTTAATTTTATGTTGTGAGCCGCCCCGAGGCTTCGGCAAATGGGGCGGCATAGAAATGTTTTAATAAATAAATAAATAAATAAATAAATAAATAAAAAGATTGTTTGGTATTTACATCCAATGCTAGGACTGGAGAAATGCAATGTTCAATATGTCCATATTTCAGGTGGAATGAGAAGTAGAGAGCATGAAGCTGCTACAATGCCACACTGCAAGGTTGATAGGGGCGCTTGCAAGAACCCTCCAGCACAGTCCAGTTAGTGTCTACGTACTGCGGGAGGGTGGCCCAGTCAGTGACGACAACCCTGCAGTGTTGCACAGTGCCATCCATGTATTGTTCTGAAATATTGCAAGAGGGGGTGCGAGTTTTGACCACGTCAGTAGCAGTATCATCCACTGTTACTGTCCGTATCTTGTAGTGGAGGCAGAGAACTGTTTACAACAAACCTGCCATGTAGTCCAATGCTATACATGTAATTTACTATATCCTCCTCTGTCCCGTTTGCAACAAGATCAGAACCAAATGACTAAAGACAGAAGTAATTAAGGGCTCTGATCTTGACTTCTTTTATATTGTTATTTATTTTATGTTGTTGGTTTTATATTGTTATTTTTGTATTTTATTGTATTTTATTCCGTGCTGTGAGCCGCCCCGAGGCTTCGGCAAGGGGCGGCATAGAAATGTTTTAATAAATAAATAAATAAAATAAAAACTGACCTACTTCCTTGCAGATGTGTTTCCAGCTGTTAGCAATCACATTGCCACTTTTGCTCTGCTGTTATTTAATCTTAGAAAGAACTTCTTAAACTCTCAGTCGTAGCTGTTTTGTTGTAACTTTTTATTGCTTTTTTATAATTTTACTATTCCATTGTTTTATTATTACCATTTCATGGTATTTTATGGAACCTTTATGTTATGACCTCTGGTTACAATAAACTTATTTACCACTGATTTATCCCTACCTATTGCCAGGAGTTGCTTTGGATGGGTGTGAAAGCTGGACGGTGAAGAAAATGGAAAGGAAGAAAATGGGTGTGCTCAAAACATGGTGCTGGAGGAGAGCTTTGCAAATACAGCGGTACCTCGGCTCATGAACTTAATCCGTCCCAGGACTCTGGCCGTGACCCAAAATGGTCGTGAGCCAAGTTAAATTTCCCCATAAGGTTCAATGTAAATAAGGTTAATCCGTTCTGTAATTTTTTTTTTTTTAATCACAAAAATTTGAAGCAGGCAAGCTGGGGGTGGGGGAGACAGACACGATGGCAGGCACGCTTGGGGCCAGGGAGGCGGGCGCGATAGGCACCCGATGCGGAGTTCGCAACCCGAGGCAAACTTTTTCAGAGATTTCTGTTCGTGACCTGATTTGGTGGTGAACGGAGGCGTTCTTGAGCCAAGGTACCGCCGTACCCTGGACTGACAAAAAGATGAACAAGGGAGTCCTGGATCAAATCCAGATGGAGCTTTCCCTGGAAGCAAAAAGGACAAAACTGAGGAGAAGATAGTCATGCTAGGGAAAGTCAAAGGCAGAAGAGGAGGAGGAGCAAGTATGAGACGGATCGACTGGATAAAAGCAGCCACAGACTTGAATTTAGAAATGCTGGGCGGGGCTGTCATGGACAGGGCATTTTAGAGGGATTTCATTCATGGGATCACCACGGGCAGAGAGGACTGCATGGCCCAGGACAACAAATTGCCGGGACGGCAAGTGAGGACGATTTACATCCTTGCTGTAGTTGTGTGTCCAGAGCCATGTATGTTCCCATGCAAGCGCCTGATGTATCCCGTAACCCCCTTTTATATAACAGAAGGCTCAATCGTGTTCCATCCTTGAGGCTGCAAGCGGTGCTGTTCTCCACCCTTGGTCCCTGTTGATGTGTGGCTGTATTCCGAGTGATATGGAAATGCCAAGGAACAGGCCTGCTGGGTTTTTTGGGCAGGAGAAATGAGGTCTTCTTAGTCTAGCGACTGGTTAAACCTTGGGGCAACATCCTGCAACTTGCAAGGGCTCCCGGCAACTGCCATTCCACAGAAAGAAGTCGCTTTCTTCAGCGAGGAAAAACAAACATGACACAGAATCAGAGACTAGTGGAGCTGGAAGTGGTTAAAAGAGCCATCAGGTCCAACCCCTTGTCCAGTGCAGGATTCCCAGTTAAACCGTCTCTCTCAGATGGTTGCATCTGGAATGCCTCCGGTGTGGCAGAGCTCACAACCTCCCTGGATCATTGGCTCCATTCTTGTACTGTCTGAAAGTCAGGAAACAGCAAATCTGGTTTCCTTGTACGAACTTTACCCCTTTTTGGGTACAGTTGTAATTTAATTTCTAGGTTACATTGTTCTTCTAGTTTACCACCAGAAATGCAATAACATATAGTGGGGGTGGGAAAAGAGACATATAAAGCCAGAAAACACACAACGCTCATTACATAACCACATGATTTCAGCCTGATCCTATGCATGGTGCAATCTTGTGCATGTTTGCTCAGCAGTAATGAATGGAGATCACTACTTAACAATAATAGTCTTTCCTAGAGTGCTATCTGCCAGATGCTTTATACTGTGGTTTCTATCGGTTCCACCCAACAAGGCCAATGGTCAGCCATGATGGAAGCTGTACTGCAAAATGTCTGAGGGGCACCTGGATGGGGATGATTGGCCTGGTGAATAGAAGTGCAGTCTTAAAAGCCCTTGCAATCCACCTTACTTTGATGCACAGAATTGGGCAGTACAACTATTCCCACCTTTGCATTCCTGGACTGCAGATGCGGTACTGTCCTGTTTCAGTGGGAGAATCAGCAGAAGACATTTGTATAATTTCTCTTTCCCACCTCTGTTCCTCTTCAGCATTGACCCAATTTTCTGCCACAGTGCCCCAATACGTCATCCCTACCTATTTATCATAAAGCTTTGCAGGCCTGGGGGCTGAATCTGACCCTCCAAGGTTCCACCCTCTTTCCTCCCTACTACAAATTATCTGGTGGTTTCCTGACATGGTCTAGTTTCCCCACTAGGATACAAGGTTGAGATGCCTCTCCTAAGAATTAGCAACTGGCAGGAATAGTTTTACATTAGAAACAGCTGACATTTGCTGGCTCTTTTCTCTTTTAAGCCACCCACCCACCCTGGAATGCTGCCTCTGGGAAACTATAATTAAATTCAGCCCTTGGGCTGAATGAATTTCCACACCCCAGATGTATGAGTTATTTCAGTGGCAATAACCAAACTATGATCTCACTCCCCCCCCATAAGCTTCACTTATGTATCTGGATTATTTTCCTGTAATTTTTCAGGTGAATTTACATAAGAGCTTCTGACTGGGCACTTTCCACACTCCAAATTGTTTTATGACATAGTTTCAACTCCACCTTCCAATCCAGAAAAGTCCTCTAATCAGTTTATGTGAAATAACAAAACAGTGAAAGTATTTTGACCATTAAAACTAATTAGTTAAAACATACAATTAAACCAATCAATTAAAGCCACAAATGAGTCATAAACCTGACAGAGTTCCATAAAAGAACAACCACTGAAGAGGCCCTGCCTGATGAAACTAACTGCTAAGCCCCGTGGGCCATCTGCTACTTTATGAGTATGTTAATATGGGTACTTCATTTCCTGTGTGAATTCTCTGATGTCTGATAAGATTTGTGCTCTGACTAAAGCTCTTTCCACATGCCAAACATTTATATGGTTTCTGCCCTGTGTGAATCCTTTGATGCTTAACAAGACCTGACTGATCACAAAAGGTCTTGTTACAGTCTGAGCATTTATAGGGTCTCTCTCCTGTGTGAATTCTTTGATGTGAAGTAAGGTGTGTGCTCTGACTAAAACTTTTTCCGCATTCCAGGCATTTATATGGCCTCTCCCCTGTGTGAATTGTTTTATGGTTAATAAGGCCAGATTGGTTACAAAAGCCTTTCCCACAATCAGAACATTTATATGGTTTCTCCCCTGTGTGAATTCTTTGATGTGATGTAAGGCTTGTACTATGACGGAAACTCTTCCCACACTCAGAACACTTGTATGGTTTCTCGCCTGTGTGAATTCTTTGATGCTGAATAAGGCTGGTGCTCTGATTGAAGCTCTTACTGCAACTGGAGCAGCTGTATGGTCTCTCACCTGTGTGAATTCTTTGATGTGAAGTTAGATGTGTGCTCTGACTAAAACTCTTTCCACATTCTAAGCATTTGTATGGCTTCACCCCTAAGTGGAGCATTTGATATTCAGTCATGTTTCTGTGCTGATTAAAGATCTTCCCAAATGGTAAGCTTTTGCTGGGTTTCTCTGCTGTGTGAATTTCCCAGCGTGCACTGAGGCACTTGTTTCTTTTCTTTTCTGTTTGCTCTTCTTGAATTATGATTTCATGGAAGTCTCCATCCTGGCAAGGAATTATTTTATTGCTTCCCTTCTCTAGGTGAATTTCGTCTTGCTTTTCAGATCCTTCTTGATTCCAGAAGTTCTCTTTCAGTGCCTCATGCGGGCCTGTTTCTGATGACATACCAGGCAATTCCTCCTCATCTTCACTCTCCCACACTTCACCTGCTGGAATAAAGAGTGAAACCCAAGTAAAAACTGTGGGAGTAACAATGCGTTTGATCAATGAAAATAACTGTTTATTTATTACACTGATCCTGATTTTTAACATAATATTCTCCCTTTCCATTTTCTCCTCACAACAACCCTGCCAGGTAGGTTAGATTTAAAGGCACCCAGTCTCACCCTCAGATTTCCTGGGTTTCAGTCCAATGCTCTCACTGTTATGTCACAATAGCTCTCAATGTCTCTCATTAAATCCAAAGTCTGCAGTTTCCCACGCCCACTTCTCCAAAGCCATAACCACAAGAACAGCCCAAAAAATGCAAGCAGCTGTTGTTATGCGCTCGCGCTCTCTGTCTCTGTCTCTGTCTCTCTCTCTCTCTCTCAATCTCTCTTGGCATGCAAAGCAAAATGCACTGATATCCAATGTATTGGGATCAGTTGAAATTCACAGAAAAGTTGGCTGGCTAAGAACACTGAAGTGGTGAGCTGGTTGGATGTTGCTTGAAGAGATCTGAGATTGCCTAAGGAACGGGAGAGATGGGCAACAGATGTCCCTGAACAGCTTAAGACTACTAGCTTAATATTTCCCAGGTTTTTTTCTCCTCCAGCACCAGGGAGAAATATTGATCTCAGGCTCAACAAGACAGTTTTTTCTCCTCCCCACCAAGAGCCTTCTGCAAAACAGATGGCCCTAATCACGGCATAACCCCCGCAAAATACAAGGAAGGATAAGGCATAATTATATACTATTGGAAAAATCTCTTTCTCAAGGCACAGAGGAACAGGGAAGCCTGAGCAAGGTGGCTGAAAATGGCAGTGCCCCTACTAATGTATTTATTTATTATTAATTAAAAGCTTTTGTATGCCATCCTATTATACAAGATCTCAGAATCTCATTAGATGTTTTGTACTAATCAAAACATCTAGGCTTGTCAACCCTGTGAGACTTAATTCTGGCAACTCCAACCCCCTTTTCCTTTTCCCTCCCAAATCATTTTACTCCTGTGTCATGACTTCTAGATTGTAAGCCTGCAGGCAGGGGCTGCTGTATTTCTTAGTTTTGTAAGCTGTCTTGGAACATTGTTTTTTTGCTAAAAGGTGTGATAGAAATTGCATTAGTAATAAATATCAGGGAAATAAAACTCCTCCCAGAATATCAAGGGCTCCAGAAATTCAAGGTTCAGCAGACCCTGAGCTGTCTGCAGAAAACATACAGTGATTGGCCCGATGAGGAGCTTGGAAACATCCAACATGAGGCCCTAAGATGTTTTGCTCTCCTTACCAAGCAAAAAAGACTCCCCATCCCTCTGCTTGGTTTCTGGGCCCAGCTGCTGCTGCTTGATCTCAGACAAAGCCTGGCTCCTTTCAGAGGACCCTGCAGCATCCACCTCGAAGGCCACCTGCAAGAAGCAGAGGGAAAATCTTTCAGGACAGAAGGACGGAGCTGGGTGGAAGAGAACTGCAGCTGGAACGGCCTTGTGATATCCCCCATGCTGTACAGAGGAGTCCCATTGGCAGATACAGGGAGAAACCAGGGTGCCGCTTCTTTTAAACTTATGTAAACACAAATGGAACCTGTGCCAGAAAAAGCCAGCCATGTCCTTTCCCATTTTTTCTAAGAATTTTTGGCCTTCCTGCAACTCTTTGCATGCTCTTGCGCCTACACATGCCTTTATGCGCATGGGAGTACTGTTTCGGCTACGTGAAGATCCATACACAGAGTATGAATTTTAGTATTTAGTATCAATGTCATCTTTATATACTTTTAGATGCCAACTAAAGACATTCCTGTTCTGCAGTTATTTTGGTGGGTGAATCTGCAGCTTTTGTCATTTTAATGGCCTTAATATTATTAATTGTTGCTGCCATTTTATAATTGTATGAATTAGGTCTATTTTTTACTTTAACGTTACCTGATTTGGTTTAATACATTGTGTCCATTTCATTTGTTCCAACTTATTTTCCTTATTTTATTCTTATTAACTGTTTATTTTTATTGCTATCTTTATTGATTTTATTGTTATTTTTGGTTTTATGGTAATTGCAGGTTTTATTGTATTGCTGTATCGATTATGTTGTAAGCTGCCCAGAGAGCCTCATGGATAATAAATTGAATCAATAAATGGTTCAATTTATTGATTCAAAATGATTTATTGAATCAATAAATGAATACATTTAGGACAGTTTTCCCACAAGGTAGTGCCCTGCAGGTATTATGAACTGCATCTCCCATTATCCCTGGTCAATAGCCACACTGGTGGGGGCTTATGGGAGCTGTAGTCTAAAACCTAGACGGTCCCATTTTGGGGAAGGCCCATGTAGGATATTACAAACTTCATAATAATGATGATGATCTATCCTTCTTTGTTTAGAATTGTAATAAAAGGAAGGAAAAAATAAAAAGGAACTTCTTTTGGCAGTCAGATACCACCACACAGAGGGGACATGAAAGCCAAGATAAGGAACCATGGCACCTGTCTGGCTTTTGGAGACTTGGATCAAGCCCTGTGGATGCTATCTATGAAAGCCACTTCTGGGCTTCTGGGCTGCCACAGCGCCTCCCAGGGTCTGGCTCCTGGTGTTAGGTGGGACGACTCAGCTGCATCCCACCTCAGCTACCCCTCTTGGACGCTTTCTCTGCTGGACGCTGCAACACTGCAACAAAATGTGTCCAGCTGCACTGGATGTAAAGCACTTCTGTTAATCCGGGCTCCAGCACCTCACCTGGCCTTCAGGCTGGCCGACGGCCTCTCGCTGCTTCAGCACAAACTCCTCAGCCAGGGCCACAGCCTGGGTGCAGGTCTCCGGGCCTTGTTCCCGCACCCAGCCCTGGATCCCTGGGGGCAGGATGGCCAGGAACTGCTCCAGGATCAGCAGCTCCAGGATCTGCTCCTTGGAGTGCCGCTCAACCTGCAGCCACCCCTGGCAAAACTCCTGCAGCCGGCTGTAGGCCCCCGTGGGTCCTTCAGCCTCCTGGTAGCAGAACCGCCGGAAGTTCTGGCGCTGCTTCTCCCGCCGCAGGACATCATCTTTCAAGATGGCCGCCTTCACTTTCCCATAGTCCCCCCTGTCTCCGGCCTCCAGCCTGCAAAAGGCCTGCTCAGCTTCTCCGCTGAGGGCTGGCAGGAGCCAGGCCGCCCACTCCTCCTTGGGCCACCGGCAGGCCTTGGCCACGTGCTCGAAGGAGGCCAGGAAGGCCTTGGCGTCATCCCACGGGGCGGGCTCCTCCGGCAACGGCGAGGCCTCCCAGCTTGAGTGAGGGGACTCCACTGTCCTCAGGAACTCCTGCCACTGGGCTTCCCAGCAGTGCAGCAGGCCCTCTTCCGATTCCTCCTTCACCGGGTGTGGGGCGGCCCTTCGGTGGCTTCCCCCGGTCTTCCCAGGATGCACTGCTTCACCAGCTTGGCTTCCTCCCACCAAATCCACCCTGGGCTTGCAACCTGCAGACGGATGGAGGGCAGGTGGGCCTTTCCTGGCACCTCCGGAAGCCTCTCCTCGTCTCCAAGGTGCTGCGTTTTGCTCTTCCGTTTTCATCCTGAGGCAGTGTGCAAAACCCTAGAAGGAGCCGAGGGGAGCTCAGCAGCCGTGTGAAGCCCCTGCAGGGAAAACAAGATTATTTACACAGGGAATTGGTCAAAACAGGTAGGCTTAGCCCCAATCAGAATAAAATCCTATTACCAATAGCCCTTTGGGTAAGTACATGTACATTCAGTTGGGGAAGTGCTTGTCATATTTTTCCTTGTGAGGCTTGTAGGTTGTCAATGTGAGTGTGGCTTTTTTGGTGGTGGGCCCCTTGTAGGGTTCTCCACACAGCTTTCTTTGCAGAGCCAAGCTAGGGCATTTAAAAAAAAAGTAGTATTTTAGTGTTTTCTTAATTTGGTCCCTGATTTTGCCCCTTAAATCTGACAGTATTTTAAGTTATGATCACATGTCAGCATATATACATGTCTTATATGTTCTTCATATAAGAACAGACATGTGACCATCATTTAATATAAGAAAAAAGGAACAAAGAGGAGCTGCAAGCACTGATAACACTTATGTTGACAATTAGACCTTAAAGTTTACCGTTTGTTGCTTTGTGTGCACCTGGCTAGACCAAGCTTCCCATCTGGAAGAATTTCCTGGTCATCTTTTTCAAAAAACCAAAAAAGAATTTATTATTTTGGAACTGGCTCACTTACGAGAAGGGATCTTAAAATACCCAATCCCTTTCTAGTTCCCAAACGAAATAAAATGAAAGCCAGAATAAAATGTGTTTGTTTTAAAGTTGCTATGAAACCATTTTTCATTTTTTAAGAAATATTGGTTTTATTCTAAGTAGGTGCTGGAGGGGAGGAATGGAAAAATGGATGGTCAGAATGACCCCAAACTAATCCTTTTCTGGATAATACTCTCCCTTTGCCAGAACACTTTGGCTACAGGCAGTATAGAAATAACTAACTACTGAATAAAAATGGGATAGTCAGCATTTCCTTACAATATTTTCACGGCTTCTTCTGTTCCCAGTTAATATAGTTAAAAACATAATTTCAGGAGACAGCAGGTAAGAAATGTGATCTTCAGTTGTTTGTTGCTCATTTAAAATTGGTTTTAGATACATGTGTCTCTCCCTTTCTGTGTTATCTGTTTAGATATTTGCATGCTGCATGTGGGCTTTGTACTGTATTTTTTAAGGTTTTAATCTTTGCAAACTGCCCAGAGCTTTGGCTATTGGGTGCTGCAGAAATGTGAAATGAAATGACAAACGAATGAATGAAAAGTAGGAGGGTATTATGCTGTCAGTCCTGTACCACAACTGAAACGAATGAGGTTTAAGTTAGTCACAGCTCAGTTAAGTCCCATTAATTTCAATGTTTCTCCTCTACATAGAACAAACCCTGAACACATTCAGAGTTTTGCCTTTGCCTGTCTGGCTGCAGTCCTAGGCACAGATGCCTGGGAATAAGTCCAGCTGAACTCACTCAGGCTTAGGTCTCTTGAGTAAACAGGCATAGGATTCTCCAAGATTCACGTTTTGCAGAAAAGCGTGCAACGAGGAAAGCCCGTTTATTGGAGTCCGCGGTTTCCTTGATTAACAGACCACACCTTTCAGACTGTAGGGCCTAGCCTTCCTTCGAGTATTGCGGACTACAACTCCCAGCATGCCTGACCGCTGGATGGGAGCTGAAGTCCAAAATTCTCCGGACGGCACCAGGCTGCAAGTACACGAACCCCTGCGCACCTCTCCAAAAGGTTTTAGGCTTTTCCCAAGTTCCCCAGAATTTAAAGGCAGGGTGAGCAGACTTTAGGCTTGTGGGATCTGCTTTGGTGGAGGTCGCGGTTTCTCCTTGAACCCACAAATCCAGCGACCTCCAGCGCAGGTGCCCAGTAGTCCGCCGGGATGAGTTCTCCACCTCCACCTGGCGCGCAAAGCGCCCCCCTCCCGGTCCGCCCAATAGGAAACCGCACGGATCACCTCCCCACACCCCCAAACACAGGAGCAGAGGGGTCTTTCTCCTTCGCCTGATCTGCAAGGGCAGGATCCCAGTTTGGGGGGGGGTCAAGCATCTCCCCCCACCCGCCCTTCTCTGCGTCTGCGCCCCCCCCTTGCTTCACCGTCTTAGCGGAGACGCCGCCGCCTGCTTCTTCTGCGATCTCTTTGCAAAGACATTCAAAGCCAAGCCCCCGCCTCCCCCTGCGGAGAAAGGACGGCGGCGACTTCGGTGCATCCCTTTCTCCCAGCCCTGCCCTCTCTAGGAAGGGAAGCTCGGTCTGTTTAACCCTTCCCAAACATGGCAGGCCGAGCAATGCGCGCACACCCCTTGTTGGCTTGGAACATCCAGCGCAGGGGCGCAGGCGCTGGTTCCCCGCAGGCTAATTCCCCTTGGACTCTCTTGGTTCGCGGAGTCGAGTCTCTCCGCAGGCCCTGCAAGCCAAGTTTTCAGGACGATTTACCCAGTTGCAGAAGAAGGAGAAGAAGGAAGAGGAGGATAAAATGTAACTGTAAGGAAACAAAGGTAGGTGCGCAAAGGCGGCTAGGAATTCCCAAGTTGCACCAGCGGATTGTTGGCTTGTCTCTCATCTCGACTTGCAGAGGGGTGCTTCTGAAAAGCCTTGGACTTTGCAAATGAGAAGCACAATTCTATGCATGTTGAGAGGGGAAAAAATGATCAACAACTCCCAGTCTATCTCAGCCAGCAAGTTTTGTTGTTATGTGCTGGCAAGTCCTTTCTGACTTAGGGTGACGCTATGAATGGAAGATCTCCAAGATGTCCTGTCGGTGGCAGCTTTGCTCAGCTCTTGTGAACTCCAGGATTTGGCCTCCTTGATGGAGTCCATCCATCTCGTATTTGGTCTTCCTCTCCTGCCTCCAACTCTCCCTAGTGTGATGGTCTTCTCCAGGGAGCTTTGCCTTCTCAGAATGTATCCAAATTCTGACAGCCTCAGTTTTGCCATTTTTGCTTCTAGGAAAAGATTTGGCCTGATTTGCTCTAGGATCCACTCGTTCATCTCTCTGTCGGTCCAGGGCACTTGCAAAGCTCTCCTCCAGCACCATGTTTCAAACGCATCCATTTTCTTCCATCCAGCTTTCTTCATGGCCCAGCCTTCACACTTACGCATAGTGATCAGGAATGCAACAGTGTGGATGATTTTGGCCATGGTCTCCAGTGGAAGGTGCTTACGCTGGATGATTTTACCAGAGGTAATATAATAGCCATGGATGGTCTTATCCATGAGGACTAGAAGCCATAGATGGTCTCACCTTCCATGAATCGATCTAATCCCTTAAAGAAGTCCAGCTTTGTGGCCATCCTTGCTTTGTGTAAAAGCAAATTCCACAGTATAACTATGCACTGTATGACAAAGTCCTCCTTGTATCCATGCTGAATTTCCATCCAATCAGCTTCAACTGATTACCCTTTTGGGTCCTACTGTTATGGGAGAGGGAAAAAAACTCCCAATCCACTTTCTCCATGCCATGCCTAATTCTGTGCACCTCTATCCTATCTTCCCTCATTTGGCTTTTTTTCTTTTTGGACGCTTGAGGACCCAGATTTTGTAAGCTTTCCTCATAAGCAAGCTGTTTTAAGCCCTGGCTGTTTGTGTTGACTTTTCCGTACTTTTCTAACTCAACAGTCCCCCGTTCTGAAGGGGTCATGGTCAAAACCCTTTCTGTATGATGACTGTAATCTGCATTGCAAGATGGAGCAGAAGCAATGCAAGGAAACCAAAAACTTAACTCCTGATTTCTCTTCTCTCCAGTGGCCCTCACCTCTCTATCTTATTGGCTGCCGCTATCAAAAGAGGTCTTTATTGTTCTTGACTTTTATTCTGCAGCCGATGCATTGACCAGACTCATCATTACCACAGTGGCTTCTTTTCTCCAGTGATCATGCAAATCTGATTTATTTATTTCATTTTTATCCCCTCCAGTAGCCCAAACCCTCTCTGGCCAGTTACCAAGTCAAGAAAGTATAAAATAGATATATAAGACAACAAACAGACACACTAAAATCACTAATATAACAACAAGCCCACTGCTGCCATAGTTATCTTGGGGCATAGGCACAGCAGTAATATAAAACAGAAAAAGACCTTGGAGTTATTGTGGATGGCAGGTTAAATATGAGCCAACAATGTGATGCAGCTGCAAAAAGAGCAAATGCTATTTTGGCAAGCATTAGCAGAAGTATTACTTCCAAATCACGAGAAGTAGTAGTGCCCCCATACCCCTCACTAGTCAGATCTCATCTGTAACACTGCATCCCATTCTGGGTACCAAGTTTAAAGAAAGATGCAGAAAAATGAGAAAGGGTGCGGAGGAGGGCAACAAAAATGATCCAGGGTTTGGAAACCCTGCCCTGTGAGGGACTGAGGGAACTGGGCATATTCAGCCTCGAGAAGAGACATGGTATCCCTCTAGAAGTACCGCAAGGACTGTCACAAAGAGGAAGGACAAGGTCTCTTCTTGCTGATGCCAGAGTGTAGGGCATGGAATAATCAGTTCAAGTTGTGACAACCCAGATTCAGGCTAGATATTAGGAATGGTTTCTTCACTGTCAGAGCAATATGCCAATGAAACCAGTTGCCTGGTTAGGTTGTGGGTTGAATGCTGGAGGCATTCAGAAAGTGTCTGGACAGTCATTTGAGTGAAATGGTGTAAATTGGTGTCTTGCAGCAGCAGGAGATTGGACCTGATAGCCTTCTTGGACTTTTCCGGCTCTATTATTCTATGATTCTATGGAAGTACAATATTAAAATTAAAAACCTAACTATTAAAATGCCTGGAAAATAAAAAGGTTTTCACCTGGCACTGGAAAGAAAAAAGGGTAGGTGCCAGGTGTACCCCTTTGGGGAGCTGATTCCATTCATGGGGTGCCACAATTGAGAAGGCCCTTCTTCCAGTCACCACCCTCCTTACCTCCATTGTATGGGCTCCTTGAGAGGGACTCCAGAAGAGAATCTTAAGGCCCAGGTAGGAATATACAGGAAGAGGCATTTCTTCAGATAACCTGGCATATACTGGGTAGAATGAGATGGCCATTAGGAATGGGGTGAATTTGAAGGCATCTGAGCCAAAGAAACCCCCCCAAAATTCAGTTTTTATCAAAGGATTTGAAAAACAGTAACAATCATGTAAATTATATTGTTAGGTACCTTTATGGCCCAGTCCAGCAGCTCAGCTAGGTGAGCTATTCCACAGAGAAAACAATGATCCAGTTTAGGAAAACAGCAAATGTTTTATTTATGAACATCCAATTACACAAAGAAAACTTATTTTTCTCTCCTCCTTCTTACAGGGTTCTCTCTCCAGAAACTCCACATGTGCATGTATCTCCATTGGGGATCTAGTATACGGAGTAGGGAGCTTTTAAAAGATCGGCTTTGGACTTACTCTGCATTAAAAAGACAGCCAAAAAATACAGGATTCTGGGGCCCACACATAGGCCCTTTTGCTTCCCCAACTCTTTGTGAGCTTCACGGGCTGTTTCTCCACGGGCGTAAGTGCAGTTAGATAAAAGCCTGATTTAGGTCCGATGTTGAATTCTCATCAAGCCTTCGCTTACTCTCATCACCTTTTGAAGTTTCTTTGCTACAGTGGCCTCTTGGAAACCATTCCCAATGGCTTCTGCAGACTGAGTGGCAAGCATTGATTCCTTTCTGTAGAGGACAGGCCTTTTCCTTGCTCCAAAATGGAAAAGGGGGTGGCTGATGGAAGAGGACATAGTTCACATGGGAAGATGAGCAAGTGACATGTTGCTGATGTTGAAGGGGACAGGATGAGGTCCGTAACAACATTGCCAGAGCAGGCATGGTGGTAGAATTCGCATCTGGGTGGGCTGGAAGGTCCAGACCCTCTGAATTAGTTTGTTGCTGTTAGTGTATACCTGGTTTTGGTCTATTCACCCTTTTTATTCACCTGATATTTTAATGCTAATAGATTTTAATTATTACTATAATTAGTTTAATCTATTTAATTTATTTTAATAATTATTTATTTCAGTTGTGGGATATCTATTTATTATTGTTTGGGGTATGTATGTTATTCATTTATGTCACTGTATTTATAGATTTTGCTGTGAGCTGTCCAGAGATGAAAGTGATTGGACGGGCTAGAAATATCCCAAATAAATAAATAGACAGACAGACAGACAGACAGACAGACAGACTGACTGACTGACTGACTGACTGACTAGGGGTATGGAAACTTTTCAATCTGAGAGCTGATTTCCATTATGGAAGGTTATTTCTGTGGACTGGTCCAAAGGCAAATGGGATAGAATCAAAATAACAAGGGGATTGTGTCTTAAAGCCTTTAAGTGCCAGTAACTATGCCCTAGGGGGGCATTTCAGCTTTTGGACAGGGGAAAAAAACTGCAGAAAGCCTAGCCCGGACTCAGCCTGGCTAGATTCCTTTCAAGGACCCACACCCAGTCGTCTGTCTGCGACTCTCTCAGACGCCTTTGTTCTTTCTAGGGTTAACTGTGAGCTTTGGTGTCTGGGTCTGCGTGTGCACGCGTGACGGACTCGTCTAGCAATGAATGGATGTTCCTCGTTGTAATGCAGAGGATGCTGGAGCTGCCTGGGTCTTGAATGGGACCCTAGCCCAGTTCCATCATCCAAGGCCTGCTCCCGGTGAGGCTCCTAGAACTGATGTGTTGACAGGGCTCAACAGAGCTACAATTCTGGGACTCTTCTTGGAGGATGTAGCTGTGGAGACTGTCACGAAGAACATCTGGGCTTTGGATGCGAGCATGACAGCACTGGTGAGGAGCAAGAGGGAGATGGCCAGAAACATCTGGGGAGAAGGGAGGTGAGAAAGCGGCCTCTTTGCTGAGAAGGGGCTCCACCGAGGCATCTTGCTCGCAGGCCCTCATCACCCTGGAGCATGGGGGGGAGGGGGGAGCAAGGAGAGAAGGAGCCCCGAAGGGGTAGATCTACCCCTAAGATCTGCCTCTGAAATTCTGCCCCCTGGTCTACAACATTTCCCTTTTTTAGCCAAGACGCAGCAAGAACAGCATCTGAGTGGTATAAATCGGTGTCCTGCAACAAGCAGGGGGTTGGACCCGATGCGCTTCTTGGCCCCTTCCAATTCTGCTGTTCTATGATTCCATGAGAACACCACTTGTTTCGGTTTATTCCAGTCCTTCACAGCACACCATCTTTCCTCTCTGAACCCTTCTGTTGTTCTCTTTCCTGCCATCTTCTGGTTGCTTCCTCTCCTTTCCCCACATTTGCTGGCCTCACTTGTACATGCTCTTCTAGCTCACCTTCCCAATCTCTTAGCCAGTCATTAGAGTTTGGCTAAGCTTTTGGTTTCTACATCATCAGTGTTCTGGTCCTTCCCTTTAAGTTTTACTTTCCTGGGTTGCGCTTCCCACCAACCGCCCCAGTCCTGGCAAGATCCACCACTGAAAACAGAGCAACGCCTTTACAACTAAAGACAAGTTCAAAGTGGCCAAACAGTTTCATTTCTATGTGTATCGTTTCTCTTCTGTGTCTGTTATCTTATGTTTCCCAGAAGACTGGCTGATCAGAAAAGGTCTGGGGACAATCTGGACACTGATATGATCCACATGGATACGTTGATGTGAAGTAAGATCTTTTCTCCGGCCAAAGTTCTTCTCGCACACTAAGCATTTATAGGATTTCTTCCCATGCATGATTCTTTGATGCTGAAGAAGCCTTGACTGGTGAGAGAAGCTATCCTCACAGTCAGAGCAGCCATATCGCGGTTTGTCCCTCATGTGAATTAATTTATGGGAAGCGAGGTTTGTATTCCGATTGAAGCTCTTTTCACACTCCAAGCATTTGTATGGTTTCTCCCCAGTGTGGATCCTTTGATGGCGAGTCAGTCTTGATTTGTAAGTAAACCTTTTGCCGCAGTCTGAGCAGATGAATGGTTTCTCTCCTGTATGAATCATCTGATGTTTAAGAAGGTGTATCCTCTGACAGAATATCTTTCCACACACCAGGCAATTATATGGTTTCTCCCCTGTGTGGATTCTCTTGTGTTTAATCAGATCTGATTGACTACAAAAGCTTTTGTTACATTCAGAGCAGCTGAATGGTCTCTCCTTGGTGTGGGTTCTTTGATGAGAACTAAGGCTGGCGATCTGACAGAAGCTTTTCCCACAGTCAGAACACTTGTATGGTCTCTCCCCTGTGTGGATCCTTCTGTGTGACGTGAGGCTTGAGGCATGGTTGAAGCTCTTTCCACACTCCAAGCACTGATATGGCTTTTCCCCTGTATGCATTCTCTGATGTGTAGTAAGACTTCTCTTCTGCTTGAAGCACTTTCCACACTCCAAGCATTTGTATGGCTTCTCTCCTTTGTGGAGCACTTGACTTTCAGGAAGGTTTCTGCTCTGATGGAAACTTTCTCCAGTGGGTTCCTCAGCATGGCACTGCCAAGGTGCATTGAAGCACTGGTTCCTTCTCTTTTCTGCTAGCTTTCTTTGTTGGGTTGGAATCTCACTGAAATCCTCACTTGGACAAAGAAGGGGATTCTCTCTTCTCTTTCCCTCCTGCATTTCTAATCTATCTGGATGACAAATGTTCCCTTTCAGTTCCTCAGGGCCAGTTCTTTCTGATGATATCCTATATGGATCCTGCTCATGTTTGCTCTCCTGTGTATTATTTGCTGGAATAAATAAATAAGAAATTGAATAAGCACCTCAGACAGAATGAAACTGAGTAAGAACAGGATTATGTCCTCTTCTTAGCAAGCACTTTAAGAACTCTATCTACAATCACAGCCTGACAATCTGCCCCCCCCCCCAATTAATTAAATGTCTCCCACAACAACCCACATGCCCTGTTTTCCCTTCAGGTTGTCTTTTCCTCCCCGCTACCCCACAATCCTCATTTTCCCTCTTCCCCTAAAAAACACACCCAGTTTGGCTTCTCCCTCCCCAAATTATCCCTCCCTCCAAGGTAAAATGGTGGTGGAGGAAGAAAGAGGCTGGGTAAGCCAGTTTGAGGTATTTAGAAGAGGAAAAAGGTGAGATATACATGCATTAATAAAGAAAAATAAGCTCATGCTTTTATAATCCTTTACACACAAAGGTCAGAATAACCACCCTGCGGGGAAAATATGCACAGATAAATACAAAAGAACATATATAACAGGATACAGCAAAGTTGTGCACAGCGCCACATCACTTCTGGAAAGCAATTTTAAAACGTCACCATTGCAATCTATGCCTAGAGAAGGGCAACAAGGATTCTTTGTTGCAAACAAACATATATGTCCTGAACAAATAACAAATTTGCTTCAATTTTATGGTTTTATGCAGTGGCTCATGTAATTAGAACAAAGAAACTGTAAAAGGTTATGCCTTCCAAATCTTATTCAAAACTCTTCCAATGGAAAATTTCTAACAGCACACTACTCTCCTGTTTTCTACTAAGAACGGCTGCTTCTTAGTGCAGGTGAAGAGATATTAGTGTGATAGATTATGTCTGTTTTCTGTCCCCCCGCCCCACCCCATTTATGGGATCTTTCAATTATATGATCCCCTGTTCTGATAATCAGACGCTCAATCTTCTGGATTTGTGAGAAAGAAGTCACAGAAGTCAAAACATTTATAACAACAGTGGGAAATTGGCAGGGGACTGCATTGCACTCTGGGTCTGCCCCTCAACTCCCAGGAAGCCTAATTTAACCCTGAAATTTGGGGGCATGGTGGCAGGAGGAAATTTTCTGCTTGTGGAGCTTCTTTGAGCTAATGCATTTTGGAGGAAGAGTGGGTGGGTACCAAAAACCCAAGGGCCTGCGTGTTACACCTGTACATGTCGGTTGTTTATAATAAGTAACTCCCTCCATCTTTCTGTTTGCATAGGTTATACCTGCAAAGCTTTAAAGTTGTTTTACTGTAACACTGAGTTTAAACCATCTGGAGAGCTCTGGCTATGGAGTGGAATGTAAATGTCGGTAATAATCAATCACAGAATCATAGATTCAGTGGACCCCCTGCTGTAGCAGGATGCCAAGTCACACCATCGCACCAGATGGCTGTCCAGTTTGCCTTGAATGTCTCCAGTGTGGGAGAGCCCATGGCCTCTCCAGGCAACTGCTTCCACTGTTGTATTGCTCTGTCACTCTGGAAGTTTTTCCTGGTGTCTAGCCTAAATCTGGTGTGATGCCATGTCCTACACTCAGGGATGAGTGAGAAGAGATCCTGGCCTTCCTCTTGGTCCGCAGGTGTGTGTAGTGTCTCTGGATCCCAAAAATGGACTACTGCCACTGGCAGAACAGTTTTATGGAGCTCCCCTCCCGCCCCCGTCAAAACCACCCCTTCCCAAAACGTAAAAGAAGGAAGGTGCTTTGCTCCCTCCAGTCTTTTCCCCACAGCTCAGGCTCAACTTCTGATTATTTGAAAGTTCAGTCCATCCTTAACATAAAAAGGGAAGAGACACCAGAATGTGAGAAAGCAGGATTAGAGAAAGAAGCAGACAACCCTGATGAAAAGAGAGTTATTTTCTGTGTCTTAATCCTTCTGCATGAAGGAACACATGCGCAATTCTCTCATGCGCAATCTGTTTATTTTATGGATCCATTTTGTGAAGGGCGGCAATGGAAAGTGGGGGCAGTGATAGGTACCAGAAAAATCCAGGGCTCAGGTCTGCAGGATTTAAAAAATGCACCAATTTGCGTGTTTCTTGACATGTGTTCTAAGGTCTCTGTGTGTGAGAGTATGCATGTGTGCATCTTTAAAGGACCCTGTCTCTGAGGGACACCCGATTTGGCTGGGTAGAGGAAACGAGAGCATCTGATTTCAGGAAAGTAAAGCAAAAGTCAAAACAGAAGCTGCAGGAAGGGAAGAAGCAGATTTGGGCAAAGGGGCAGCTCATCTTGGGGGATCAGATTCAACAGAGCTCATGAAAGCCCCTCTACCTTTATTTCAGCGCGTGCCCATGTGGAGCAGAGCGGTGGGGCAGATGGCCTCTTGGAAATTTGGCATGCTGACTGAAAGATTCGGCGCACCTCCCCTAGCGGATCAGTAACGCTGCCTCTGTGGCCCATCAGTTCTGCCGTCTGCTGCAAGGGTTCGTGTAAAGTTAGCTTTCTGCAGGAAGAATTCCCCCCCGTCCAAGCATTCAAGACGGTCCCCCCACAGGAAAAAAATTTAAAAACCAGAAGTCTCGTGGCAGCCTTTCCTGGTGGGACTTGGTCTCCAGGTCCCTCGCTTTCTTTTTCCATAAGCACTGTTGGTGTTGGCCTCTTACCAGCATCGGTTCCTGTTTCGCTATGGCTTGCACTAGGTATGGACCCATCCTCTTCCTCCGCTGGGTACTCTTCCTGTTGGCTCACGGCCTTCTTCTGACATGCTGGAGGGCTTTCCTTGCTGCGTTCCTGGGAAAATGTCTCTTCGACTGTGGGTGCCCCCACCACTTCTGAATCATCAGGCAGATAGTCCTCCTCTCCACCCAGCTCCATCCACTCTTGGTATCCTAGTGAGAGATCACAGAGGGCTTTGTTCTGGACTAAGTGGGTCGGAACCAAAAAAGATGCTGCAAATTATTATTATTATTATTATTATTATTATTATTATTATTAGAACATTTCCATGCCGCCCCTTGCCGAAGCCTTGGGGCGGCCTACAACACAATACAATACAATACAAAAACAACAATATAAAATTAAAATTAATAAAAATAAATAAATAAAAAATATAAATGATATAAAAGAAGCTATAAAAGAAAAGTTATAAAAGAAAAGAAGTCGCCCTGGCCAGATAAATAAGTAAATATTGTTAACAATTAAATTGTACTTTTGTTCTCTCCATTCTGATTCCTCTCATCACCACCCGCTTTTCCATTCTGCCGCCCAACATGCACGCGTACTCAAAATTTTGTGTTCAGTCCTCAACATTTCATGACTTATATTTCTATACTCCTTGATAGCCAAAGCTCTCTGGGCAGCAGACTCAGGTGAAAATGCTCACTTAAAAACCATAGATAGAGAAACATAAACATATCCAGTGCATAAAGAGACAGACATGGATCTAAAAACAATTTTATATAAAGCATAAGAGAAACATTCAGGACCTGATGAAAGACCTCATCATATGCTGCCAAATGCCAGAGAAGAAGATGCTGAAAAGATAACAATGTTGGCATCTGATGGGCCTCGTCTGGAAGACTGTGGGGCCACCACTGGCAAGACCCCTCGCTGCAGCTCATGGGGCTGTTTTGCAGGTTATTTTTCCCTTAGGGTTTTTTATTTTTTTAACTGTTCAGCAGATCGGCAAACTTTGGCATTCCCCCAAGGCTAGTGATACCTCTCTCTTGCACATGAGTACCACCATTTTGGCTATAGAAGTTTCACCACTGCAGAGTTGAAGACAGGAGATAAAGGGAATAATGGTATTTGAAAAGAGGGATTAAACAATTGAAGGTGGAATTCTATGCTTTCATGAGATCTAGTGTTCTTTAAAATCTTTTAGATGCTAAACTAAATGGGTTTTTTTTGAAAGCCATCCAGAGACTTTTAGTATTGGGATGGCATATAATAACTTTAAACAGTCAAACAGTTTTCTCTTTTTGTATATTGGAATTTTAGGCTGTGCTTTATTATATTTGTATTTTGATTGTATCTTTTGCACGTGGATTAATTGGTGTGAACTGCCCAGAGAGCTTCAGAAATGAAACCAATAAGCAAATGAATAAATGGGATGTCGAGCGAAGTCTTGAAAGGACAAGCTCCCAGCCCACTCACTCCAAGTCAGCAAGGAATGGACCGTGCGGGCTGCACCTTCCGGGGTCTTGAGGAGACCCTGGAGAGGCAAAAGCAGGGAGTTCCGGGAGGGCAAACAGCTAGTGCTGTGCACATGCGTCCTGGCAGGATTCCCAGGTGCATATGAGAAGCTGACCATTTTGGTGGGACTGGCAGCTCAGACTTGGCGGGTGAGCTGTACAGAGGGGAGCGGGCCGGTCCGGGCAGGGCGGATAGCTCAGGCTCCGATAAGGAGAAGGCTGCTGAAATGGACGCAGCTCCCCTGGGTACTTGCCTTTACCTGCTGTGGGAGAGATTAGTTCAATGGCAGCCGAGGGGCCCAGTCAACCCACCCTTGGGAACGAGGAAGAGCAGCAGCATTGCAAGGGGGGAGATTTAAAGATGGGGAGTCTCTGGCACGAAGTACTGCAGCCTTTAAGGAAGTGGACCCAAAAGTCCACTGACACAGTTGTAGAGTGGCCCAGTTCGGATCGCAGAGGGAGGAACGCAGGCGTGCCCGGTTCCACAGCGCTCCTCCCTCCCCTCCTGAGACAGGCACAGAAGGACTCTTAAGCAAAGCTTTGGGTGAAGGGGGCAGGAGAGGGTCCATCTTTTGCTCTGTGTATGCTCAGAGACTTGTGTAAAATAAAGACATTTATCAAGATGTACTGGTGAGTCTGTTACTGCAGGGAGGGAATGCTAGAGCTGTGGAGTTAGGGAAATTCCAGTCTGTGCCCAGCCTTCTCCTCCCCAGCACTGACTCTAGGTGGCCAGGAATGGATCTGGGTCCCGGGGAAAGAGACTTGGGGCCGAGGCTGCATGGCCCGGCCTCAGCAATGCACCGGCCACCAAGCAAGGCACTTCAGAGAGTCCAAGATCTCAGGCACAAAAATGCACCTTCCCCTTACCCAGCAGGGCAGTCTCCAGGTGGCTGTCTTCTTGCTTGGTTCCCACGCAGAGCTGCCTCCCTTCGGCACCGGGCAAAGTCGGGTCGACCACGGGGCAACACCCTGCCTCCTCCTCCAACGTCACCTGCAACAGCAGAGAGGGTCCACCTCACGGAAAGCGAAAATCCTGGGCGGAACCAGGACGGACCTCACCGGAGCCTGTCCCTCCAGGATTCTGCAGGCTTCCTCCTGTGCTTGGCCTGGTTAGTAAAGCAAATTGAACTGACAGGAGGCACGCGCATGCTTGCAGAATGAAGGCTGTGCGATGGGAACCTTCCTCTGCATCAGCTGCAGCTGCACAAATGGCTGGAAGAGGGGCGCTGCTTCCGCAGCCAGTGTGGTCTGGTTCTTGGCACATGCCCTGCAAGTGGTGGGGATTTTCATCAGGAACTCAGACGTGGGGCTGCAACAGAGCAGTCCAGCTGGCGGCAAATCCTATGGATTCCCAGCTCCAGACCGGATTCCCCCACCCCTAGTTGTGGGAGGGCTGGACTAGGAGTGCTGCACCTCTTCTTGGTCCGAGGGCCAAGTTCCATTTTGGAGAAGCTTTTGGGGGCCACATCTTAGTGGTGGGTGGAGATGACAGGGCCTAAATGCCAAAAGGGTCAACTTAAGAGCAACGGCAATGGCATGGTGCAGCAGAGAGCACCATCGGGCATGGGAGGTCTCTCAGCATTGAATCACCAGAATGGGAACCACATGGCCTCACCTGGCATTCTCTTCTCCAGTCTACTTCCTGCCTCAAGGGGAAGTCCTTGGCCAAGGACACTGCCCAGGCTTTGGCTCTTGCTGTCCTGGGGGATGCTGGGAGTTGTAGTCCAGCCCTACTGTGGGGCACCAGGCTGACTTATGAATGGAAGGCCAGCTCAGGCTCTGTCTGACCCAGCCAGTGATGCCGTCTCACCTGGTCGGCCTGTCGCTGGTTCGAGTCCTGCCTCACAAGGAAGTCCTCAGCCAGGGCCACGGCCTGCGCGCAGGTCTCCGGGCCACGCTCCCGGACCCAGCTCTGGATCGGGGAGGGCAGGATGGTCAGCAGCTGCTCCAGGATCAGCTGCTCCAGGATCTGCTCCTTGGAGTGCCGCTCGGCCTTCAGCCATCGGCAGCACAGCTCCTGGAGCCGGACGTAAGCCACTCGCGGCCCCTCGGCCTCCTGGTAGCAGAAGCGCCGGAAGTGCTGGCGAACCTTCTCCCTGCTCAGGGCGTCCCCGCGCAAGATGGCCGCCTTCACTTTCCCATAATCCTCTTTGTCTCGGGCATCCAGACTGTGAAAGGCCTGCTCAGCTTCTCCGCTGAGGGCTGGCAGGAGCCGGGCCGCCCACTCCTCCTTGGGCCACCGGCAGGCCTCAGCCACCTGCTCGAAGGAGGCCAGGAAGGCCTTGGCGTCGTCCCAGATTACAGGCTCCTCAGACATGGGTGGGCTTCCCCAGTGGAAATGAGCAGACTCCACGGTCTTCAGGAACTCCTGCCACTGACTTTCCCACTCATCCGGTTCTTGTTTTACCTCTTCTCCTGGTCTCCTGAGAAATTCTGCAATACTCCCTGCTTGGAGCACATGTGGGGCTTCTCTTCGTCTCCCTGGAGACTTCTCTAGTTTGAAGCTCGTGTCATCTCGGGCCTCCATGGTTGTATCTCCAGGTGACTCACAAAGAGCCATTTATTTTAAAAAGTGGTGTGCCAAGCTTCTGTCTGGTTGAAGAGAAGGAAACATGTTAACAATGTTAACAGACAGAAGGAAATGCTCATCTTCATGTTGGCCTGACCTTTGCTTAAAAATAGAAATGCAGGGGAAGAAAAGATGCTGGTTGTCTCATACATTGATCCAAATTCTATGCACATTTAAATTAGCAGTTTGCACCTGTCCTACATTTGTGAATGCCTTACATGGCTCAGGACCACAATACTTGCTGACACGCCTCTCCCGGCCACACTCTGCCCAGACACTATGGTCAACATCTAGGGCCTTCCTCTGAGTGCCACCTCCAAGGGAGGCGCAGAAGGCAGCCACAGGAATGGTCTTCTCTGTGCTGGCCCCTTAACTTTAGAACGACACCCCTGCCCAGGCCAGCCTCACACTAACCATGTCATCCATTTGGCCCAGGTTAAGATGGCACTGTGTGATGAGGCATTTAAAGACATCCAGGTGTTGCAGAGTCACTCTTTTTAAATTATTCTTGGTATGGTTTGTCTTTATCATCAGTTTTAGCTGTTTTAAACTTTTTAAATTTTCTAACATTTTTACTGGATTTTTATTATTTGTCTTTAAGGATTGTGTAAACCTCCCGAAGAGGTTCGGTTGTTGGCTGGTATAGAAATGTAATAAATAAATAAATGCCTCAGAGAGAAAGGACCCACCATCTTATCAACAGGGACTGGAGCAAAAGGAAAAAAGAAGTACACATCTGTAATCTACAGATGCTGTAGTCTCTGTGTGCTTAAAGGGTCCCGTCTCCTAAAGATACCCCTATTTATTTATTTGTTGCATTTGTATGCTGCTCTGTAGCCAGAAGGCGCTCTAGGCAACTGACAGTGCAATCATAAACAATAAATGCAGGTAAAAATAGAAAATGCAGGTAAAAATAAATGAGTATAATAACCAAAACCATAAAACATAATAGATTAAAAATACAATATAATACAACAGGAGGTTAAACACAGTATAAACAAGAAAACAGCAGCAAGACCAATAAACATAACCTAAAATACTAAATAAAAAGGGCTTAACTTGGTGCCAAAGGCAAGGTAAAGCGGGTGCCAGTCGCACCTGCCTTGGAAGGGAATTGCAAAGGTGAGGTATGACAACCGAGAAGGCCCTTTTCCTCGCTAATCCCCCTTCACGTCATATGGGGAGGGTTTGCAAAGGAGTGACCTGAGTGGTCCGATAGGGGTATATGGAGACAGGCATTCCTGGTCCGTTTAAAGCTTTATATGTTTAGTGTGAGCACTTCGAACTGGGCCCAGGCAATGACAGGCAGCAATGCAACTGGTGGAGGACCGGTGTGATGTATTCTCTAGAGCCGGTCTTAGTTAGTAACTGTGCTGCTCTGTTTTGGATTATTTGAAGAGCCCGGATGTCTTCAAAGGCAGCCCCACGGAGAGCGCATTATGGTAATCCACATGAGAGGTAACCAGAGCATGGATAACTGTGGCTCCGCTCCGCTCATCCAAGTAGGAACGTGGCTGGAAAATCAGGCTAAGCTGATAGAAGGGGCTCCTGGCCACCTGGGAACAAGTGAGAGCTGAGGGTTCAAGAGCCCCCCAAGCCATGAACCTTCTCCCTTAGTTCAACCTCTGCTTAACCCAGGCTCTGCAATGCAAGGTGCCAAAAAAGCATCGCTGGCACAGGGGCGTCTCTCCACCCTCTGAAGGAAGACAGAAGCCATCGCCTTGGAGGAACCCTGCCCCACGAATGCTGAGCCTCTTCCCCCCTGGGAATGGTCCCAACACCAGTCCGCCTTCTTCCCCGCTTTTCACCCGCTGCTTCCAGTCCTGTGCTTGCTTGGAGCTCTGTCACGACTGGTGAACAGCCCCCTTCAGACCCTCACCCTCAGCCTCACCCTAAGCCTCACCCTTGCAGGAGAGCCAGAAAGGGGTGCAGGGGATGCTGGTGCCTCTCGCGGCAAGGGGGCTGCTGATCCCACTGCAGCGCTGACGCTCAGGAGAAAAGCTGCAATGGATGAAAAGCCCCGTCGAGACCCTGGAAGAAAGCGAGGGGCGGTGGTGCCCGCCCGGATCGAGGGCGGCCTGAGTGGGGGGCCGCCCCCCCCCCGACCCCACTCTCCAGGCTGCAGAGGCGTCTGGAGGAGGGACAAGGGAAGCAGGCCAGGCCTGCGGGGTCAGGGTAGAAGCAAAGCCCGGCCCGGGGGGGGCTCCTCTCCCCTTTCCTGCCCCCCTTCCCGGTGCTCCTTTCCCTCCCGGCCTCTCTTGGAGACGCCCCCCCCCCGCGGCCCCGCACGCTCACCGCCTCCAGGCGCCCCCAGCCCCGGCTCGCGCTTCCGCTTGGAAGTGGGGGGCGAGGGGGGAGCGCCTTTCCCACCTCCCGGCGGGCCTCTCTAGGAAGGGCAGCTCCTTCTGCTTAACCCTTTCCTCCCAAGGCAGGGCTCGGAGCTTAGAGTGCCAAGCTAAGCCTGTGCAGAGGAAGGGGGGCGGGGGGGGAGAAGTGGGGGGGGAGAGAGAAGGGGGCGAGGAAGGACAGGCTGGCCGGGCAGGCTGCCAGTTGTAACCACTTTTAGTAGCTATTTCTTCTGGTGCTGTTGTGAACCTCCTCTGTGTGCTAGTTGCTGGGGAACATGGGCGGGAGGGCGCAGTTGCACTCAGGTCGTGCGTATGGGCGTCCCAGGCGCAGCCCGGTGGCCACAGTTTGAGCAGAAGCCTGGTCTGATGCTGCAGAGCTCTTCTAACGCGCTTCAGAAAGGCACTAGTCCTCATGGAATCAGAAGCCACGTGTATATGGGGAAGTAGGGTGGGGGAAGTTGGGTGGGAGGGTGCTGTTGCACTGCTGTCTTGCTTGTGGATTTCCTGTGCGCACCTGCTTTGCTGGACTGGATGGATCTCTCTCTGATCCAGCATGTCCATTCATTCATTCATTCATTCATTCATTCATATGCCACCTTTAACTGACAAAGGCCTTCCTAGGTGGCTTACAAGTAACAACATATTAAAACCTATTAAAACAGGTAAAAGAATAACATCAACAACAATAACCTCCTGCTTTTAAATAAGGGGCTAGTTCTCATGGCTGTATGGTGCCTCCAGTACCTAAAGCGGTATGCCTATGCACCCCTAGCTGATGCAAGAGTCAAGTTGCGTTCATCTGCTCATCTCTTGCTTATGGGATCCTGAGGACAGCTGGCTGCCCCTGTGGGAATGGAAGGCTGCCCCTGTTGAACTTCGCTTTGATCAGCCCGTCTCATCAAGTGCCTTTATAGTAAGGCAGCTTCCAAAGTTACACTAGCTCAAGTAGCGTCATTGTGTGCAACCAATATGCTGTTTATCATACATATATGCTGTTTATCATGCAGTTTTTCTAATGCACAATAATCTATTGTGTTCTCAAATAATTGCCCTTATCTTGGGGCATCTCCAAATCTCCCCCTCCCCTGCCAGTGCATTTGATCTTAAATGAAGAACAAGCTTCTAGACCTCATGGCTATGGACCACCTGCAGCGGCAGAGGTAGCATATCTATGGATATCAGCTGTTGGGGAACATGGGAGGTAGGGTGCTTTTGTGTTCCTGTCTGGTTTGCTTTTCATAGGCAGTGTGGATGGGCCTTTGCCCTTATCCAACAGGACTCATGCATTTTTAGTCACAAGGTCAGAGGACAGCTCTGCTGACTTTTCTGAAAATCTTTTGGATATACTACCAGGGATGGGTGGCTGGCTAGAGCCATTTTTTCCTTTTCATTCAGTTCTCTGCCTTGGTTTGGCCTTGTGAAGCTCACCAAGGCTGCCATTTGGGTCCTGCCTGCTTGGAAGACTCAGGTCAATGGCAGGTTGACTGAACGTTTGCTATTTCTTTGCCTAACGTTGTTTTCCAACATGCTCCCCTCCTTGCATCCCTTTTCATTTCCTCTTTTCCCTCTTGCCACTGCAAATAAACATTACACCAATTCCAACGTTTCTCTGTCCTTCCTTCTCATTAAGTTTTAGTACTAAAAACAGAGCTATTTGGTTTAATTGCTGCAGTTTACAATTTCAGGCCTTGACGAGAAGCTGAGTTTGGGTGGGATTGATAGCTCCGAGTCTGGGAATGATGGGGAGCTGGCTGACCCAGACAGGGCTAAGAGCTCAGACTCTGATAATGGAATGGTTGCTGTAATGGGCAGCCCTCCCGCTGCAGCCCGTTTCTCAGTTCGTCTGTGTCTGCTCAAAATGAGATTAGTTCAAGGACAGCCATGGGGCCCAGACCACCCTCCCATGGGAATGAGGAAGAAAACGAACAACATCTGGAGGTAGGGGATTGGGAAATGGGTCGTCTCTTGGATGGAGAACTCCAGGACCCAAGGGCCCATCGTCACAGCTGCAGGCTGGCCGAAATGGGGGCTCAGAGTGCAGAACGCAGGCGTGCCCCCACAGGGCCCCTCCTTTCAGAGAAAGTCCCTGAAGGGTTCATAAGTAGAGTTTTGGGTAAAGGGGGGCAGAGAGGGTTCAACATCTCACTTTGTGTATGCTCAGAGACTTGTGCATGTTTCGAGTCTTCTTTGTAGAATAAAGATGCTTACAAGAAGTGCTGGAGAATCTGCCTGGCTGGGGAGGGAAGACCTCATGACCCCGGTTTGGAGTCTTATTCAGGTAGAGGCAACCCTTTTCAAACTGCGAGCACATTTGGGGATTTGAGAAACTGCAGTGGGCACGACCACAAAGGCTTAGCACGAGCCACTACTCTGGCGTCTGTTACTTGCACCTGCGGATCACAGAGTCACGTTCAGCAAAAACTCCTCTTTTGTGTCTGTCAGACACAACAACTTCTCTTTATTTTATTTATTGATTAGGGTATTTCTAACTTGTCCATTATGGTTTGTCTCTGGACAGCTTACAATATAAAACACCTAATAAATACATCATAATAAGGGGTTTTGTTTAATTCCTCTGTCAGTGCAGAACAATTCATCTTCCTTTACGTGTATGTTTTGGCTATCTCCAGTCATTGCTTTAATTTGGGAGGTTATTATACAGATACATTTTCTATTGGTACAATCTTTACTATTCATTGATGGGGCGCATTCTTTTAATTGTGTGCCTGTTTCATGGCAATTGGCAAATGGAAGGGGAAATGGGCCTCTGTGACCTTTGGAAAGCCAAAAGGCAGATATTTTAACAGTGGAAGGAGAAACACCTCCAATCACGCAATGGACTGAGGACCTTACAAAGCTTTTGGTACAAGAACAGGTGGCATAAAGAGGTGCCAACTTGAATTGGAGATGTATTTGGATATTTGGTCTGCGTTTCTTGAAACCTACGCATCAGTGTGAGAAAGTTGTGGGCACATCACACAAGTCCATGTGGATGTTTTTTTAACAACCGGCCAAAATATAAAAACAATTTTTGGGTGCCCATGGCGCTCGTGTTGGGGAACCTTCACAGGCCCCATTGGAAGTGTCTGCAGAAGAGGATGGAATAGAAGTAGAGTTAGAAGGGGTCTTAAGGGGTTTTCCCAGTTGTAATGTATGGCTGTGAGAGTTGGACCATAAGGATGCTGAGCACCGAAGAATTGACACTTTTGAATTGTGGTGTTGGAGAAGATGCCGGAGAGTCCCTTGGACTGCAAGGAGATCAAACCAGTCAATCCTAAAGGAAATCAATCTGGCTGTTCTGGACTGAACAATCCTGGACTGAAGCTGAAGCCCAAATTCTTTGACCACCTAATGAGAAGGAAATACTCATTGGAGAAGATTCTGATGCTGGGAATCATTGAAGGCCAAAGGAGAAAGGGAAGGCAGAGGTTGAGGTGGCTGGATGGAGCCACTAGGGCAGTGGGTGTGGGCTTGGGTGGACTCCGAGGGATGGTGGAGGACAGGAGAGCCTGGAGGAATGCTGTCCGTGGGGTCATGAAGGACATGATTTTGAGATCAAACAACAACAAAAGGCCATTGAGTCCAACCCCTTGCTCTACTTCCACATGTGGTCTCCCATCCAGCTGCAGTACTGAGCCTTTCTAGCTTAGCAAAGCTTGCTCCATGTGCTAGCTTGCTGTATGGCTATGCAGGCAGGGAGGTACTGTGGCTCTTTTGGGGACTATGCCGATGACTCCAGTTGTAAGATCTGGGAGTTCCCTGGCTCAGGCAGAGGTAAGGTCCAGTAGCAAACTTCTTTGGTGTTTGTCCTTGCAGACATTGCAGGGTTGTTGTTGTTTTGTGCTGTCAAACCATCTCTGACTTATGGCGACCCTATGAATGGAAGCCCTCCAAAATTCCCATCAACCCTAGGGAGTCAACGAAGGTTGATGAAATCCACAGTGAAGACCGAGGAGAGCTGCCAGGGACAACGCCCGAGTTGTCTCCTCTTTTCCTACACCAGACTGAAGATCCGAACAGCTCCACATTTTACAGGTTCAAGAATTCTTTCCCTAGCAGGAAATGGAGGACATAATTCTTGCAGCAGCCACAGAAATAGGTAAATACAGGTTCAAAACCAGCATTTTTAAATGCTTTATTTTATATTCATATAAATAACATATAGGAGCCTTTGGAAAAGTGTGACATGATTTCTGATAAGGGCAAACGTAGGGCTGGGGATGTGTCGTTTGAAGAAAAGAGAATGGGACCACACGGTGTGGGAGAGATCAGGAAAACGTCTTCCTGTTTAGAGATGGCCTCTTCCTTCATCCCCTATAGGGGCGAAGGTGGCCAATAGCCTGATCCATGAGATTAACAGAGAGCTTTTGATGGACTGTTTTCCTCATCTCAGGAAATTCACCTGCTTCTTGAGCCCCATACATCTTGACCACCAACTTGTCAACTGCCAAGGCAAGAGAAACAGCAGAGTTAGGAAAGAACAGATGTCAAACAGTAATTTTTAAAGTACACTGGATTAACTTGGGTACTTAACTGTAACATATGCTTCAGGCACCCCCAAGAAAGCTAAGCTATCCATCCCT